CCCCGAAAAAATCCCCCCAAGTAACGAATTACTTAATCACCCAATTCCACATTTATTAATCGTACAGTAGTAATCATTAAATGTTTATGAATTTTTCTATCCCCTTAAAGCATTTCTCCACTAATTTCTGTTTCCCTCTTTTTAAGAAATAAAGTAGCCTTCGATCGAAATGGTAACCAAAGCTAAAGAATCAAGTATAGATTACAAAGAGTTATGAAAAATTAATCAAGAGGAAATAACGAAGGATGAATCCAAAATGTTTGGCTTATCACGAGGAATTCATTGACTATCTACACTTTATTTCATTATTTTTTTTTTTCTACTCATTATCATAGATAGTACCCGAAGGTCCTGTGTACTTGTAAACTTGTATCTTTCTTTTAATTTGTTCTGTAAACAATAAAAAATATGTGAGAAAAACAAATAACTAGCGGAATCAGGATTTAATTCAGGTTGTTGGTCATCGCGAGGAGTTTTGTATTTTTTTTTTTAATTGCTGGAAGAATACAAAAATTGTTAGTTTCGCCGATCACAAAGCTTTCATATTTTTTTTTCTCTCTCATAGGAAACAATATCCCTGGAGCTAGTGTAATTAGTTTAAGATGAGAGTTATCTCGATAAACTCGTTGCACTTGGAAGGTAAATACGGTATTTCATTGCCCGGGAATATTTTTCTGGTACAAATATTCGTTTTACCAAGTGGTACTATTCATCAGCTACTTGTGTGGTACGATGATTGAACCCCGATACATATATAAATATGCATTACACACCCAGAAAAATGAATGTGCATCTCTCAATGGTTTTCACAAGAGAATTTTTAATAATTATTATCGATAATTAAAATCAAAGTTGAAAGGGGGGGATCTCATACTTTGGGCAAGCGTAGAACAAAAATTTGGGGAAGAACAATTCGTTTCTTTTCCCGTTCTAGATATCCTTATGTTTTTTTTTAATTAGTTGACAATGAAAAATCACAATACATAACGTTTAGGAATAATGTAATCACGATTGTTGGATTCGTGATTGATCCTTCGGGAGGGGAGGTATATAGTAAGTGTAAGTGTACGATGAGGTAACAAGTAATGAAAAAAAAAATTAAAAAATATATACTATTGAATGAGAATTAACGAAGTGCAAGTTCAGTATATAAGAATAGAAGACGAGAGAGTAGGTGAACAGACAAATGAAAGAGAGTCGAGCGGGGCGATTTGTTCTCATACTGATTGTCATATACCTTAATAATTTTTGTATTTTTGTCAAACAATATTAACCGATAAAAAGAAAATGAAAATAAATGAAAATCGATCGAAAGTGCAAAATGCATTACGCCACTATTGCTAAACTACTGTATGACTATTGATTAATATAATAGCGAAAAAAAACTACTGTATAAATATGAATATCTCGGAATAAATGTACTGAAATAATTATGATAATATTTATCCTTTTTTATAATAAAGAGTCATCAGTTTTTTTCAGGTGTCATCGTAAATCTCTTCATTCGGGTTTAGAAAAGTTATTCCGGGGCTCTATAACATTTTATAGGATTAATTGCTGATTTAGATGTATATTTTGTTCTTTTTTATATTTTTTGAATATATGAAAATTTTTTAATTGGGGGGTAAGGCTGTTGTTCGTTCTTTTCATCACTGGATACGTCAGAAGAACCAGAAATCATAACCTCCAGGTGTCTGTCAATTCCACGAGCATTATGACCTGAAACAAGTGTTACTTTATTTATTTAAAAATGGGTGATTCAGACAATGAGAACTATGTTACGTTTGGAGAACCCCTGGAGCCTTTGGATGAAGGTAATTCATAACAAGAGAATAAATAAAATATTATAATCTAGCGGCTGCAGAAAAAGTCAATTGTTTATGGTTTCCCAAGTGCCCTACATTGGGAATATTATTTATTAATTTATAAATCATCCAGTATTAATAGTCTTTCAGACAGTTGTTTATTTTAATTAATTGTTTGTTTTTCTTTTATACCAAACCTAGGGGTTGATCTAAGATTTTTGGGGGAGGCAAATTATTTTTTTCCAAAAAAGGATTTATGAATAAATCAACCAACAGTTGATCCGTTCGCACATGACAATAAAACTTAATAAAAAAATAGTTGTCTCATAGTTATTTCGAGAAATACAAGTGGATTATTTTCATGCAGAGTTGATCATTCAGGCCAGGAAAATTTTTAATGAAAAAATCGTGATTATTCCAGAGAACTTGCCCAGGAAGAAACCAGTAACGATAGAAGAGCAGATCGCAACAGACGCCCAAGGACGACGGAGGTTTCATGGTGCATTCACCGGTGGTTTTTCAGCGGGATATTTCAACACAGTGGGTACTAGAGATGGCTGGAGGCCACAGCAATTCAAGTCCTCTCGGAGCAACAAAGCCGGAAGTGTCAATCAGCTCCCAGAGGACTTCATGGACGAGGAGGACACCGGTGAATTTGGAATTGCACCAACTGCTATCAGAACCTCCAGCGATTACACGAGCTCTGCCAAAGGGGCAAAGAGGGAGAGACCGAGGGCCAGTGAGGGTCCAATTCCGGGAGTGCCTGTCCTCCAGGATATCCTCAAACCAGTGACTGACACCATCGGGGTTGCACTGTTAAAAAAAATGGGCTGGAAACCCGGACAGGGGGTGGGCCCCAGGGTAACCAGAAGAGAAAAGCGAAGAACTCGCGAGAGGAATGACAAAAAAAAATTCTATGGGTGCTCTTTGCCCAATCAGGAGGCAAAAACCACTGAAACTACCTCTGAAAGCTCTGATGAAGACCACGAAGGCATTCTCTTCGCTCCAGACGATTACGAACCATTTCGGTAAGAGAATATTCATTTTTCTGGGTTATCTCTATTTTTTTTTCACTGAAATTTACTTGAAATCACTTCATTAATCATAATCACGCTCTTCTTCAGGTTGAACCCGAAGTCGAATACGTTCGGAATAGGTTATAGCGGATTAGAGCGCACTTCGGTCCTAGGCCATATAAATCTCTTCGATGGCCCTTCGCTGCAGCTGACCGAGAAGAACAAGAAGCTCTCGATAAAAGGACAGGCATTCGGTGTGGGAGCCTTTGAGGCAGACGACGAGGACATTTACGCCCGAGATGATATGTCCAGGTACGACTTCACTCTGGGTCCAGAGTCTAAAAAAACCCCCCGACGAAAGCCCAACGAGTCCACCGTTGAAGGCTGCCTAGAGGGTTTCGTCCCTGCGAAAAACACTCTTCCACGTCATAAGTACTTTCCTCCACCAGAGCTTCCAAAGGACTTTAAGCCCATCCACAGGGTGCGTAAGAGTCGATTCTCTCCAGCGGAAGATCTAAAAGACTCGAATCAATCCACGAGAGAAATGGCCCACAGAAAAGGTCTAGCCCGTCATGACCTCGATGCTACAGACAGATCAGTGATCCTCGGGGAATCCTCGAGCCACGATAAACCCACAGGACCAGACAAAACCTCTCAAAGTAAACCCTCCCCTGCAGCAAACATCATCACTCGAACCTTGAACCTCCATGGACGGGAGCACCTGAAAAATATCTCAGAGACCCTGAAAGAGCCCAAAAAACCTGCGGTCTCATGGCTGGACAAACTCTCAACCACGAGTTTCGTTAGAGGAGGTGTCGAGGGGGCAGAAAATACTCCTGGAGCCCTTCAGAATCTTCCCGAATTCAAATCATCTCTGGGATCAACGCCAAAACCCTTCATCGAGGAGGAAAAGCAGAAGCGGTTTGAGCAATACCTGGAGTTCGTCAATAACAACGAGAGGAGTAAATTGTCGAGCATTCAGCCTCTTTCAATGACTGAGTGGCAGAGGGGGCGCGAGGAGGAGGAATTCGAGCAGGCGTTGAGGATGTGTGAGGGTCCTGGGACATCCATTAATAAAAGTGATAATATTGAGGATCCCATGGTGGCGGCAGCCAGGGCGAAAATGTTTGGAAAACTGACGAGAGTCGTCGAGCCCTGGCAACCTTCCAGCATCATCTGCAAGAGGTTCAATATTCCTGAGCCCAGAACTGGGTGTGCTAAGCCAGAGGTAAAGAAGAAATTCTCGGTTTTTGAAGGCCTCGATTTTTCGTCCGATAAGTTTCAGAGAGCTACAGATACCGCTGGGACATATAAAGAACCACATATCGAGTATAAATCAGTGGGAAAGAAAGTTGAGAGGGTGGAGGCGGTAAAGGAAGTGGAGGAAACGACGGGGACTCAAGGAGCTCAAAGGGTTCAGGGGGAATTGGGGCATCGGCTGGATACTTCGGATATTGATACAAGGGGCAGCAGATCTGGAAAAATGCGGGACTTTGAAAGTTCTTATGGAAAGATCTTTGGAAAAGGCTCTGAAAAGACTCAGGATGCTGAGGTATCTCATGGAGAGGAGACTGGTAAGAAGGACCTGTTCAAGGCTATTTTTCTCAGCAGCAGTGAGGACGAGGGAGGTGACGAGGGTGAGGGGGTTGAGGATGGGGTTAATGAGGACGCTGTTAAGGCGTTGTTGATTGGGAGGACGATGGGGGAGGCAAATCCATTGAGGAACGACTCACCCCCTCGGGGCATTTTTGCTAAACTCGATCTCGATGAACTCGTCAAACCCACGGCAAAGGGGACTGAGGGGGCTAGTGGGAATTTTGAAACGAGAAAATTACCGACCACTCCGGGGGAGCAAAAAGACTCAGGCGGGAATTTAGGGGGGAATTCGGGTGAGAATTTGGGGGTGGAGATTTCCATGCAGACGTATGGTCCAGCTTTACCTGCTAAATCCACGAGGACAGAGTCGGGTAATTCTGAAATTGTTCAGAAACCTGTTTTTCGGAGTGTTGTTGTGACTAAGGTGGAACGGGATCAAGTCCAATGGATCGAGAGGAAGGAGAGTAAGAAGAAGAAAAAGCACAAGCAGAAGGAGAAAAGACATAAGCATAAAAAGAAAAGTAAGAGATGAGATTAGTGTGGGGATTTGGTGGGGAGATGGATTGGGTGTTTTAAACTTAATCGGTTTATTTATCTCGTTTTTTGCTTTCAACCTTTTTTTGGATTTTCAAAGGGTGGAGAAAATTTTGCAAGAGGTGATTGTAGTACTGAACCATAGATTTTGCAGTGTCGGTATTAATCAGATGGAAGGAATTTTGTTTTGATGAGAAATCGAGTGTGTGACACATACAATTCTGAATGTGAATCTGTAGATTACGATTATTAAAATTAATTACTATTACTTTTTAAGCAAAAATTTATCGGTTGTAGATTGTATATTGAATAGTTTTCTGTTCCAAGAGCTACTATTTTTTTTCCGTGTATTTTTCTACAAAAATTATTGATTATATTTCAAACTTCAGAAGTAGAAACAATAAAATCGTTGCAAAAACTTCTGTTGCTCCACAAAAAATATATAAACGAGTTTTAGTAATTAAACTACGAGGAATTTCGTTTGCTTGTTTACAATCTGAAGAATCGATTACACATTTACATCAGAATACAGGCATATGTAATGCAATTAAAAATTGTTTGTAAATAATTCATATAAAAATATAATTCCCAAAATCCCTAATTGCAAAAGTTTAAATAAGGTCATTATAAACCGCCCAGAAGCAGTGACGGTCACAAAAAAACTGCAGAGAACAATGTCAACACAGAAGAAAAAAAAAACCTAAAGTACTTGAATATTCTGAATTCAAGTGGACACGGGTCGTTTGAAACTCGATAAATTCCTCTGCCAGAAGACCGATGATCACTGCAATTTTATTCACCATGCTAAATAAAACTCCCAACATTATACAATAGAAACATTTATTTATAGAACATCGCCGTCGAGATAACAACGAATTGATTGGGTTTTCTCTCATTACAATTGTATACATTCTCATTATTTATATTCCCACCCCTGTAAATAGGAGATGGGAGGTGAGTCCAGGGTCGGTCGAGAGTTCACCTTTAAAATTCCGCCACATCGGATATTTCGCTGGGTGACCTCGCCCAACTCTCGAAACGTGGAATAAGTGCACACGAGACACAGACAGGTAGATTGACGGGGTTGATGAAGAAAAAAAAAAATATAATAATCACGAGAAAAAAACAACGGAGAAAAATTTTACAACGTGCCCGCGTCAAAGTTTTCCCCATGATATGAATCCCTTTCAATCTGATTCGCTATTAAACGCCCTCCTGTAATAAAAGCCATCACCGTGAATTTCTCATCAACCCCACGAGTGACTAAACATTGTCATTTTGACGTCAAGAAACGACAATCAGCTGTTCAGAGAAAATTTTTCCCTCAAATCTTTTTCCTCGACGACAGGTACGTGCTTCTAGCTTTTAACTCTCATAATTCCTCTTCCCCTCCCTCACTGATTTTTTCATGCCCTTTTGGTATCATGTTCGAGTCACTAAAGAGGATTAGAAAGATTAGAGGGAACGAAACGCAGAAAAATACGATGCATTGCTCGTAAATAATTTACTCTTTCGAATTTATTCATGCACTAATGTCTCTGGATCGACTCATCCCCTGATTCTTACATTTATGCCATATTCCCCTTAACTCCCTCGAATATAAGTTTTATCTCCAGTCTTTTAAGGTGAGCAGTAGATTGGTAGAAAAACACGACGATAAGTTTCTCCATTTTTTTTTTCTTCTCTCCATCTCGAACATTTCTCACAGTTGCAAGGATAGAAGTGATGAGTACGAAGGAACATCAATAGTTTTGATAACCGGTCAAACTTCCGTAACTCTTTGTACGGAGTTTATGTCCAATGCGCAATTGCCAGTTGTGTCCGGCGAGGCAAGGAACTCCTCTGAGGGTTTTACACCCGCTGTTCTCATTTCGTCCCGTACTCTTTCCACCTGGAGGAGAGAAAAATGTTGAGAAATGAGAGGAAATAGAGATGGAATGAAGGAAAAAAAAATCCTGTCAACAAGCATTCGCTGATCGGATCGACTTACCTGCCTGAGGACCCTGAGCAAATTCAACCCCGCAACTTTCTTGAGATCCAGAACATCCCACTTGCCGCTTCTCAGAAGTTCAGCGAAAAGTTCGGGATATCTGGAGACATCTTCCAGGCCTCTGGGTGTTCTTTAAACAATTCAAAATGCAAGGAGAAGTTAATGCCAGGAGAAGTTTTGAATTACTTGTTGGTAGTTTCAACTCCTTTTTTATTTCTCGAGGTGGATTCTGTGTTTGGTGGGGAGAAAGATACGTTCGATACACTCTAATAAATCCATCTGATTTTTTACAGCACAGTGGTACGAATTTTGTCTCCGAGTTACAGGAATTCTAGGCGCAAAGGTAATCTGAATTTACATGAATGAAAATGACTTTTAATATTCACATTCTGTAAAATTGTACAACATATAAACTTGATTAACAATAATAATTCTCGGTAAGAATAAATAAACAAGTTTGATAGAGATTAGCATGGGATTTAGAGATTTTATTGGAGATTAGAGAAAAAGAAGAATTTGATCTCTTAGTTCAAAAACAGATTTTCTTTTTTCAATATTCGTGTTGATGGCGAAATATCTGTCATTGATAAGGCACTCTAATTTCCGGTGCAGCTTTGAATCTGAATATCTCGAAAATTATCAGCATCGCATCAAAAGACCCCATCGTATGAAACCTGTAGAATTTTATAGCGGATAAAACGCGTTTTGACTCGTGTTTTTACGATCCCCGGTTCTCGAGATATTCCCATTCGTGTGAGCAGCGGACAACCCCCTGCCACCCTACCATCCAGAATTCCGCTCGAAACAAACGTTCATATCTCAAGAACTAGAAGTCATAGTGAAATGAACAAAAAATAATTCTTTTCGTCGTAAAATTCTCCATATTTTATTTTCCGACGATTCCCACGAATTGCCAATTCCTTTAGAGATAATCGAGTGTGCAGGAGCATTGAGCAAAACTCACTTGTTTATGCCATCAAAGTCACCACCGACCCCGATGTAGTCGACCCCAATGAGATTCCTGATGTGATAAATATGTTCTGCAACGTCGTTGACACTTGCATCCGGTCCACACTTCACAAAAAAGTTGTAAAATGTCACCATGACGAGTCCCCCATTAGCAGCCTGAAAACGGTACCGAGTAAAATTCCAATAAAGTGAAAAAAACATCAGTTTGCAAAGGCAATACTCTACAAGGGTATCTCACTGTGATGAAAGAAACAATTCAATCTAAAATAAAAGGACTGGAATGATTTTGAATCATCTGGAATGTGATTTATTATTTTTCGTAAGAAAGTGCATTTACGATTTCTTAAATAAAAAATTTTAAACTGAACTCATTTGAAAAAATTGAAAAAAAATCACTGGAACTTATATTTATATGATGAAAAATCTGAAGAAAGAATGCATTAACTGTCTCAAACCGATTTCTTGCCGGTTCGAAATTTGGAGCTAAAAATCGTGGGATAAAAATTAAGTAAATTTGTAGAAGTATTTGTAGTAATCGATATATTAACGGTTGATTAGGCAAAGAGAAATTTAATGAAATAAATGTAACAATTAATGATTGATTCTTTGTGAAAATGCATGACGAGAGTTGCACTTGACAAAATCGGTGTAAAATGTCACCGTGACGAGTCCCCATTAGCAGCCTGAAAAGGGCACCGAGTAAAATTCCAATAAAGTGAAAAAAAAAATCAGTTTACAAAAGCAACACTACAAGTGTAACTCAATGTGGTGGCCACACACTGTGACCTCTGAACTCTATCCGTGAATACATCGAATCCTCGAATGTGTATGAAAGATAGAGTGAGAGAGGAATTGGCGCAGCGAATAGTCCTTCAATACCGAGCATTTGGAACGTGAAACTTTTATCCGAGTTACGTTTCGAGCAGTGCCCGAGCTACAAACGAACTGCATGAGTTTTTATTGCACTACTTTTGGCAATAAATACAGACTACCGAGAGCCGACTATCGACAGTCACGGAGTTGAAATACAAAAGAGGGTATCAATAGCGGCAAAATTTTTATATTTCTCTCCCTTGATAAAATTCTACAATGCTGAATATTTTTCATTGTACTTTACTTTTTTCAGCACGTGGATGAAAAGATTTATTATTTTCGAGAAAAGGAACTTCATTCTGGCATTTCGGGTTGATGAAAATTAATGAGCGTGAGATTCTACGAATGGTAAGAATGAACTTTTTCACTCGGTCTGAGAATTTTTCTCTTGCTGTTGGAAAAGGAAAATCTGGGGCTCATCCTCAAATTATTCATATGCTTGATTTTAGGTGAGTGCCATGAAAGTTGGTTTTTTTTTGTTTATTATAAAAAATTCAGGTTTATGGATTGAGATGATGAATGGTCTAATTGGTCGTAAATTTTTTAGCCGAGTAAACGAGGGATTTGAGGATTTTTTTCCTTGAAATGAATAATTTCCATATTTGGCTCTGGATTGGGTTTTTCGAATTAAAAAAAATTGAAAACTGGAAAAAAACTTACAGATGTTCGTTCATCCATTTTATCATTATTTAATGACTCCAAAAATGTGATAAACGTCCAATGATTTCACTGTGTTCTTTCTAAACTTTTTAAAAATTCATAAAACTTTATAACAAACGCAAAACAATTATTGGACGATCATGAAACTTCGTGAGAAAAATGAAATGATAAAATGAAAAAACGGTATATTTTTTCGGGTCAATCCGATCAACTAGTTTTCGGAAAACTCCAAAAATCAGTGGTTGTGGCTAAAAGATGGCAGAACATTTTTTAAATGTTCGTTATTTTTAATCTGCAAGATTAGGTAATTTTTTTGAAATTCGATCACAGTTTATGGGACAACGAAAATTAGTGGAAATAGTGATTATATTGAAAATTCAATTGGATTTAATATCCGATGATTAAGGGGATGAGAATTATCATGGACGATGTAATCTTCAATTAAACTAAACCCGACACCATTGACATTCGTTACAACAAAGATAAAGGATTAATTACATTGATGTTTTTTTTAATTCCAATTTTAATCAAATAGCCGGAAAACATAAAAGCTATGAATACTCCTAAAGAAACAGAAACAATCCATCACTCCAGCTATTGATCTCGCATCGATTCACAAGAGGAATACCGTTTTTTACAAATTAATTTGAATTAACTCAATCAATTAATGTTCAATTTGTCTACATAATTGGCAGTATATAAATGATACTATGCGAACTATTTACAAAAATACCATATTTTAAAAACATCAATAATGCACTTCAGATTTTTATAGACTATTTACTAAGAAATTCATTGATTATAATTTTTAAAAAGAATCCCAAAACTGTAAAAAAAAACGTATGAAAGTGGTCGCACCACACCGAAACTTCGTAAGCCATTGAATAATGACGAAACGTGAAAACGTAAAATTTTTCACATCAACTCCATGAATAATTTTTTAGAAAAATAAATTAAAAAAAAACTAAAAAAATTTGAATTTTGGGTATAAGTGTATGGAGCATCTTTGGAGTGTTTTTATCATTTCTGTATAGTGACTTGTATCAGAGCTTCGTTGTCGACTTGAAGATTAAAATATTCAAATAGGTGGGGGTTTAGCCATTGACTGGGAATTAATGGAAATCCAACGGCAGTACTGGCTATTAGGGCCAAGCCATCCGGTTATAATAGTAACCGAATGCGCATACCACTAGATATGACCCTCGTAGATTTGACTATTGTCATTCGCAACACAAACGAAACTCAATCGAGTATTCATCGTCTAAGGGTCACGTTGATTGGATTATCGTTAATTACCATGAAGCGCAATAATGAAGAATATTTTTGGACAATTCGTGGATTCACTCGGCAATCGATAGATTGATGGGGATAAACTCATCATAAATTCGTTATAAACTCCCAGTAAATTCCATCAATGAGATTTGGTTGGAATTAATCTAATCGAATTAGCCCCTGGGGTGAGTTCCGTTTGTTGATGGTTTTGGGGTGGGGGATGAGTTGCTCGTTTACTCTCTTTTGGTTTTCCCCTGTGGGTCAGAGCCCATTCTCTCCATTTCGATACACTCAAACTAGAGGGACTTCCAATTTAATCTATCTCGTGTAACTCAGTTGATCCTTCGGACGTTTCCAATCGATGTTCGTCGAGGATGTGTGTCCTGCATGAATGAAGGGAGGATTGAGTCAATTGGCTTCGAGACCAGGGCGAGGATATCCCACGATTATTACCCCTATGTCCCATCAAAGCTCAACTTTATCTCCTCACAAGACGTTAACATACTATTTTCTTCAAAGAAAAACAAAAACGCCAATCGACTTTTCATATCTTATTTATTTTCCATCAGGTATCTTTCACGTCACGATGTCATTTGAAATTTATAAATAATTGTCGTTTTTTTTATCGATCTCTTGATGACATATAATAGAGGCGAAAACGATTCTATTTATTTTGTCATTGAAGAATATTCGGAAAGAGGGAATTCTCGAATTTAGTTCGGGTATATTTCTGAGTAGTTCGAGAGGGTGATTTTTTCTTCGAGTGGCAAGTGAATTTTTCCCGATTCACTATATATCAAATTTCCCCATAGTGAAAATTCCCGAGAAAACTCGAGAGTTCTGAGTAGTAGGTTTGATTTTTCTTCTAAGTGGGAAGTGGATTTTTCCCGATTTTAAAAATTTTCCTTTAAAAAAAAAATATGTAACGTGTTTTGTCAGCTTTTTTCGGCGCATTACCTATTACCTACCTAAAAAAAAAAACTATACATATCATCCTATATATACATATAGTATAATATAAAATACCATTTCAATAAAATAATGATTTGTCTAAAATAAGAAAGAAATATATGGAATTTATCAATTGAATTGAGTTAAAGAAAAAAACATAAATTATGGGTAATTTTTTTAAATATTCAAGATTCTTTGAATATTTCGATTTTAGATATCAAATGATAACACCCCATACGTGTGAGCTTAGGCGCGCGCATCGCGCCATTTACGCTAGTGAAATAAGAAAAAAATATGAACTTTTCCCTAAAATAAAAATGACAGCGAATTTCAGAGGAACGGTAGTCCACTCTTCCAGATAAAATTATACGGAAAAAAAATTGTAAAAACAAGAACTAATAACTTTTTTCAGTCGCGATTGAGAATTGGTGATGCTGAAATTTCGATATGAAATAAACGGAAATTTATCGTGTAATTCGGCGACCGCGTTCGATGAAATACTCTGAGACATCTTTCCTTTATTATTCTCGCATTTTTCCGCCCCCTCACTTTATAGATCGATAGCACCAAGCCAAATTAGTGAAACTGTTTAAGGAATATTGGGTTCCACCGATAGAAATAGCGTGATACAGTAGATAGAGGCCCGACTGGATCTGTTATCACTCGACTAGCCTGCGGCGTTTATCGCTATTCATACGCCTCTGCGGGTTGGATAAATACAGTGTCCACGATGTATACTCATATCATTTAATTATCTGCTATCTAACCCAAAAGATAAACATCTCTTTCAGCCTTCACATTTTTTTATCCTATTATTCAATTTTTCTGGTGTTGTTCGCCACTTTTTTTCACTGCTCGGGGCAAAAGCCAATATAACTCACGTCAAGAGCATTACAAAAAATATTATTTACTATTAATATTATTACACACCACAAAGAAAGATTATTTAGACAATTGACCAGCGATGTAGATGCTTGATAGAGATTGTCGCTCACCGACAATATTGGGAAATAACCCTTGAGATTTCATGCGGAGAAAAAAATTCACGAGAAATTATGTGACGGTTCCATGAATATAGGGGGTATGTTGTTTCCCAAAAAATAGCGGAACTAATCTGAATTTTTAAGTTACTGTCGCGCAATTTTTCGTGAAGTTGTTACTCTGTGTAATTGTCAATTTTCAGGTGCATTTGGCGCTGAAAAGCCGTAAAAATGTCGGAAGTACAATTACATTTGATTGAAATTTTTACGATCAGCATAAAAATTTAAGCTTTCATTGAAAAATCAATTATCATTCAACTTGGAAAACCGAATTTTAAAGATAAATGCGAAATTCAGTAACGGTTTTTAATTAAAATTTAATGCAAAGGTATATATTTGGAAATTTAAATGGTTTTGTGCATGAAGTTACAATAAATTTTGTACAATGCGAAGAAAAAGATAAGTCCCAGAAAGATTGAAAATTTTTCTCAACTTCTCTTGAACTCACACCGAAATTCCTCCCCCAATAATTCTCAATGAACACCAATCTTTCCCAAATTGAAATCACCAGAAGAAAAATAAATTTTTCTCCCCTGTAACTTTATAAATCAGGGCAACAGAATCAAAAGCACACGAGTGAATTATTGAAAAATCGGTCTGGTAGAGTGTGCGAATGCCAGTAAAGAGAAGTGTTTTTTTTCCCATCAGTGATTAATAGCCACACGAGTCTCAATGGAGAGTGAGGAAAGTACTGGGCGTTGAAAAGAAAGAAAAAATGAAAGAAAAAAAAAAAAACAGGAAAGTCAACGAGTTTAAAGCGAGCATTAACGAACAGTGAAAAACTGAGAAACTTAAATTTAAAACCTTGAACTCAATTATAAAATGTTCCTCCCCAGTACAAATAAATTTATCACGAGGAACTTTTAATCGTGGCTCTAACGAGAGCCTTCTAAAAATTTCAATCTCCTCCCCAGGAAAGGCAACATCTCCCCAAGATGTAACATAACGTTTAGTTTTCATTGCAAGAGTCGAATGGTAAATTCTAAGGTCGATAGTTTTCCCTGATAATGATACCGGTGGGTTGGAAAAGGGAGAGGATTCTCTTAATGGAGCAGAAAACTCGAGCAATGGAAAGGAATCGTCGGTGGTAATTGTTTTAGGCCATTGAAACTGGTTCCAGGTTCCATTGGCAAGCGTGGTAATTATCTCCGGTACCCCACCTTTTCCCCACGAACATTCGGCCACATTGCATTCCTCTTTGGTTTTCCTCGACACCATCCGAATATATTCAATGAATTTGCATTGGACCCGAGCTCTATCTGAGTAGAAGCCTCTGCTGTCAACTGCCACTTCATCCTCACATAATATTCCATCGAATTCCCATGGAAATAAAATATTATGATGTAATAAAATATTATCAAGTACTTTTCGTAGCGTTCATCTACCCGGTCGGATAATTGCCCTTCAAATTTCAATCAAAAAATTAATTTGTTTGCGTTATCCTGGTACACGCAGTGAAAAATTAATGAAAAATTAAGTAACAGTTCCGTCAACGCAAAGCATATGTCGTTTCGTAAAAAAATTATGGGATTAATTTTTTTGAACGAATTGGCATTGGGTCTTAGATCTATTTGAGTAGAAGCCTCAGCTGCCAACTGCTATTTCATCTTTATCCAATTTTACATCGAATTCCCATGGAGAGAAAATATGATGGGGTGCTGATATGGTTTCCGCGGATTTGTGGAGCTTCCTTTGCATCCAACTGAATTTATTTTCCCCGGGATGATGAACTAGTGCAGTCTCTGCTCGGAGAATCCCCCGAGATACTTTATCCATGATTATATTAATGATGGATTTCTATTTAATGGATTAGTCTTGTTATCGTGATTTAATCGGAAGATTAAGAAGTTTTTTGGATGAGATTTAATTCCTTGAAATTTCTGTTGGCTTCGGTGTTGAGAAATTTTTCTTCTTGATCGTTTTGCCTTCTGCCTTGGGCTCGGAATTTATCGGCGACAAAGTGTTGGGAATTTTGATGTGTTAATAATCACTCTACAAGCTTCAATGTTCGTGTAATCGATTCTAATGGAATATCGGGTTAAACTTTATAACTGGATTCCTCGATATGATAGACAGCTGAAGTTTATAATACGGTAGAACTGCGCTGTTTTAGGGCTGTAAGGACAAAATTTAGTGGATCGTTTTACTTTGGAGATCATTCGGCTTTTTATGGTGAGAATTGCTCCTTGGTTAAGAATGTGATAGAAACGAAAGGGGAACTTTCAGAGTTTTTATAGATTGATGAGCTGTCATGGAGTAGTTCCGGAGGTTCAACGAGTCGTAAAAAAATCACCTGATATTCAAAATGTTAATTAACGAGAAAAATTCATTATTTCACTCGTTTCAAGACCTCGTGAGTCAATTATTTCAAAGGAATCTCACAGATTTTTGAGAAAAAAAGTTTCATGATTCTAAAAAATATCTCAATTTTGAATAATTTATTCTTAAATATAAATAGATTTTTCTTGGATGAAACCTTGGGGTGTGAAAATGATGAATTTTTTCATTGAAAAGAAAATTCTTTTGTGTCACTGGTGAATTGCATGACAAGTGCGGTACATTAGCGGATTGAAAGGGTGGAATGGCGTGGAATTTGAAATAATGAATGAAAAAGCTCTCACCAGTTGTTTGAGGATATCATCGGGAACATTTCTGGTGGAATTGCAAATGGCAAAAGCAGACGAGTGCGAGAATATAAGTGGAGCTTTGCTGACCCTTAATGCATCCCTCATGGTTGCTCTTGCTGTGTGACTGAGGTCGATCAGCATTCCCAGCCTGTTCATTTCGCGAACAACAGCTTTACCAAATCCCGTGAGTCCACCACCTGGAAAATTCATCAGAAAGCCATTACGTAATGACCCCAAGGGCAGTACGAATATGGTGCAATTGATTTGATTCTCTGGTGTTGCCACCTACCACTGCCGTTGTCCTCCTGCTCCACGGATGAGCTCTTTGCCCACGGTGTGTTGCACGTGTGTGTCAGGGTGAGATAACGTACACCCAATTGGTAAAGGGTTCTTAACACGGCCAGACTACTGCCGAGGCTGTGTCCACCCTCGACTCCAATTAACGAAGCTATTCTTCCACTCGCGTGTGCCTCTAGTATCTCTGAAATTATCATGTTGTTCGTCCTTAGTACACGGACTGATAAAAATTCGATAAGTCTTCAGAATACAATAATACAAACGCAGACAAAATGCCAGTAAAAATTACCTGCTCGTAATTAGCCTTTGGTAATCGTGTAGTGTTTTTTCTCTATTCAATCGTTTGAAAAAATGTACACAACTTGTAGGTAATTTTTTCCGAGGGGCTAGATGATTGTTACTTATTGAATAATACAAATTTTTCGACTGCTTGGGAAAATTTATCTAATTTGAGAAAAATTACCGGAAAGTTACATTATCTTTGCCCGAACGACTAAGACATCACACAATTACGAAACGGTTCAATAATTTTTACATTTTTCTCTCCATGCAATCATTCATCTCATTCTTTTAATTTAAATAAAAATATATATGTCCATAGTATATTCATAGTATTCGGCTCATCGGATTAAGTCCTCTAAATATCAGACGAATTTCTGCTTCATTTTCTTTTTAATCTTCATTTACCGAAATTCAATAATCCTCAAGTCTGTCCAACAAATACTCACCCCTAGAAGACGCAGCAAACTGCATGTGCTGCGAGTACTTCTCAATGAGTCTCTTAATGAGGTCAACTTGCTCCAGAGTCAGCTGAACGGCATTGAGGTACTGAGACTCGCAGGGCACGTAAGCAGCCCAAAACTGCAACAAACAGTTTTGAGTTAAACAGTGAGAATGAAATTCCCTTACAACCTTCTACAACTTGCATTATTATTTCCTTCACTTTTGCTCAGTAGTTATTCAACGCGGTAGTAAACACGGAGGTCGTGGAATAAGCAAGGGAATGCATTAATTTGTTGTTTGGAGGTAATTGTTTTAATGCATGCGCATATTTGCTAAGTTGCCAAGAAGTTGCCTGTTAATTGCTGCGACGTCTAACCCTCAGTTAAATATGAAGTTTTGAAAATTATTTGTGGATCCTTTCTCCTCCCTTCATTGCCGAGAAAAAAAAAATACCAATTTAGGAATGATGTTCTGTAAATTGTAGAATCGGCAATTTACCATTTGCACGTGGATAAACTGAGGAGAAACTAATAAAAATTATCATTATTATAATTATCTCCCCATCCCAACTGTATCGCATCAAAGCTCTTTTAATTTAATTTTCAACTGTAAATAAATTCAATTGAAGTAGAATCGATGGGACAATTATTTCAATTATTGCTATTATTTCCATTTTCCAACGCAGTCTAAAGACATGGGAACAAATTTTTAAAGTCATTATTGAAGTATTTTATAAATTTTTTGGTTCGGTCGTCGTGAAAAAACGGATTTCTGCGAAAAATCGAAAATCAATTAATTTAATAAATCAATTGAATTTTAATTTATCCCGAGGATTAAGGCTCAACAATATTTACACATGAGAAACGGATTGATTTAATTGCACAATTAGATTAACGCCCAATCGGAGATGAAGTTTAAAAGTTGTCACATACACGGAGAGAAATATTTAGTAAAAATTACGGAACTTTCAGTTCACTTACCGATTACGGAGTTGATTCGAAAAATTTAAGTGACGGTATCGTTATTTTTCACCGATAATTCAGATAAAAATTACGGAACACCGCGGAAAAATTCCGTGACTTTAGTTAAAAATTACGTGACAGTTCCGTAAAATTTCCGACAACCACATTTCGCTCCAGAATTACGGAAAATACACGTAATTTTTATTGAATATTTCTCTCAGTGTATATACGTAGGAATGGACACCATTCGAAAATGGGGATGACACAAAAAAAAAACGCACAACTTAAATTCCAACGATTAGAATGCTCTCATTCGGAAGCGAAAAGCTCAAAAAACGAATCCAAATTTACCGGAAAACTGAGTGTTTCACAAAACTCGAGATTTTCCAATTTAAAATTTGAAAAAATGAAAATTTATCAAAAAAACAGAGAATTATTACGAGCTAAAAAAAATGATGACATCGATGTAATTACCGGATGAAATTCCCCACATTATTACTGTTGTAAAAAATATATATAATAATAATAATAAATTCATACAGAGAATTGATTGCCTTTTGGTTTTTTTTTTATCGCACAGAAGATGTTATCCCCAGGGGAAGAAGAGGACGAATGAAAAAATAACCAGATAAATGCCAGACACCTATTCCAAAATTATGTGTTCAGCATCGTGGGGATATCTCGGCGTGATAAAATGGAACAAACGGGGTTGTGGAGATGCCGAGAAATCGTTTGGTTACGTTATTCTTGTACGTGACCACCGACTTTACGGTGATACATCAAAACGGCGAGAGCCACACGGAGAATAAACGTGGAAAACCTGATGGGAGTTGAAGACAAGTGCCAAGAGCAAACTGTTTGCGCACTGGGAATATGAACAATGTGAGGGATGTGTAACGAAGATTATGTGGCTGAAGACTTCCCACGCAGGGAAATAAAGTTTTTATTTCCAGAGATTCGCCCGTAATTTTTACGACTTTATCTCTAATTTCTCGGTCTCTCAGTCCAAACTTATATTATATTAGTCTAACAATTAGGTATTTTTCCTCCCCAAAGCTAGAGAGAAACTCCGAAAATTGTTCTGAATTATAGAGTGATAAACAGAACAATTTTTAACAACATTGTCTGTCACTGATTAAATAAGTTATTAACAATTCGCCTGGATTTTAGCCGAGAATAATCGAAATTTCTGAATATTGATGGTAAAATGGAAAATATTTGTTCTCCAGATTTGATGAGTAATTGGAAAGTTGATTTTTTTCAATTAATAGTTGCGCCTCACTCACTTGATGAATTCACTGAATATCAATTCGTAAAAAAATCGCTTAAGTCAATCGAAAAAATCGAATAAGATTCAGGATTTTTACGGGGACCGATCATTAATATTTCAAGAGCACTTTGAATTAGAAATTTCATTATGACGCATTAAATTCTCTGAAGTTTCCATAAACATAAGAATTCCGGAAAGTAATTACCTAAATTTCCACCATTTTTTCTCCATTCATCAAATTAAATGCAAAAAGACAATGTTCAAATAAAAACCTCATTGAGTATTCAAAGAAAAAAAACAGATTTTTCATAAATAAAAAAACAAGTTTTCTAGAAAAGTTGAAAATTCTAAAGAAATTCGAGCTTTTCCCATAAAAATGCCAAGATTACTTTTGAAAAAGGGTAGAGTATCTTTTTAAAAAATGACAACGTGGCTAATTGTTGATTATTTAATGAGTTTCGCTGGAGGATTTATTCCCGAGAGACTGAGCCGATGTTTCACTTGTCCCTTTTCCTGTCATTTTCCGCTTCTTTTGTCATTTTTTCACTGTTTTTTTTTTCCCTCGTTGCTCGACATACTCGTCCACATTTCCATTACCCCCCCTTGTCTCTTGGTGTTATGCGCGGGACAGGATATATCGATCTTGCTCTCAACCCCCATTCAATCTTCTCCCTTGTCCTGTCCTGCATATGCATTCTATATACCTTTCTCTGGTGCCACAGCAATTCCGTCTATAGGTGTGCCTGTCACGTATGAACCGACGACAAGTGCATGTCAGTAAGGATCCTCTCTGTGTAATCTCATCGGTTGGAGACCCTCAAACGGACTTTGACGCATCCAACCGATTTCAGCTTCGAGTTTGATGACCAAGTTTCAAGGGACATTGTACCTTATCGTACACTATGATTTTTAATTGAGTTTTCAGGTGGAGATAATGCTGGTTCATGGACCACCTCTCGCTCTCTCCTTCGTTCCGGAATGAAGGTAACACTTGTTTATGTCCAGGATGTCCGATCCAGAGGCTTGTCCATTAATTGATCGAGAGTCAAGGGTAAATCTGCATTCACCAGTCTCTACCACCGTTTTTATGGGTATGAGGGACGCAGGGTTCAGAAAAAAAACGCTAGAATTTCGTTTTGGCATGTAAACTATGGGGGAGTCAATTTTTTTATGAAAAGTGGGAAGCGGATGTGAAGTTGAAAGTCGGTGATTTGGACTGGAAATTTATTGAACTTTGAGAGATTTTTTACAAGAATATTTTCTAATAGTAGGTTTTTCTAAATTTCAGAGAGTGCGGGTTTTACTGAGAAATTGTATCTGTTCGCCTGGCAAGAGAGTAAGTACATTTTTTATTTGATTAATCTAATTGTGTTAATAGTGACACTGATTTTTCGAAGAAATCTAAATTGAAAAATGAGTTTACCGTATTTCGCTGGTTTTTATAAATTTTTCAGACAATAATAAAACTAATGTTTACAGGTGTAATTGTCACTTTACAAAAGTTGAAAATTTTTTTTAATTTCCTTGAAGCCAAAATTTTAATAATAAAATTCAAATATCAAACTCGAAATTTTCATCCTCAATTAATTTCAAAATTTTTGGATTCGAAATATCCTTGACCCATCGCGTGTAAAAATTCCTGGAGAGTCAATCTATTACGATTACTCAACGTCCGAATAAATTCAGCAAAAAAAAAAAAAGAATCTAGTCCGTGAACTGCTGACAGAATGGGGGTCGACTCGTAAAATCAGAGAACCAATAATTTGTCATAAAACTGGAGCAGCCCTACCCCAGAAATAATGGTAACGAATACCAACACATTCCAGGTATGAAAGAGAAAAAAAAAATAGAGAGAGATATGATGGTGAGGGGTTGAAGGTAAATAATATTTTATCTTTAACTGGTTTATTAAGGAAGGGACGAATGGGTTGAGAATGAAGAGGGATGAAGAGGTATCAGAGGGGTCTGTATATATTGTACTAAAAGTACCTCTGGCGTGGTGGTCGCCTCTGGGCATAAGTGAATCGATGAATTAGTGAACGGGTCTATTCCACGACGTCTCACTTCCCTCCGACCCTTTAAAAGGGATGGGGCAATGGTGGTCTGCTCTGCAGTTTAACCATTGCACGTAGGCGAAACTTACGGGACGAATACCACAGAGTTGAAGTTTCCAGATAGTGGATGGACGCTTCCTGATCCCGTGAGAATGAAACACCCTGCTTCGGATGGTCTTGCGTTTCAACCAGTGGATATCTTGGAATTCTTGTCTACCATTTACCATGTACCACCGTTTGTTATATTAATGGAATAGCTGCAGAATCTCGAATAGGTCTTTCCTGCGGAATCAGTCATTACTTTCAGCTTCCGTGAGATTTGTTATCGGTAGTGGAAAATTGCACGGGTGAACATTAAAATTTTTCACAACGAAGTGAAATTGAGTTTTCGTTCACAGTGAGAAATATTACCTTGTTGAAAAATCCAGGTGTAATGAAAGGTGTCACCGGTTTTCGCCGCATGGCTTACCTCATGGAAGTTCATTTTTCAAAATAATAATTATGATATGCACTGATGGATTTATTATCTATTAGTATATATATATATATATATGTATATATTAGCGAATAAAAAAAAATGATTAAAGAGTACACGGAGAAAAAAATCTATGAAAAATGACGTGAGAGTTCAAGTCGATCTATTTTTACGGAATGTTCCGCGATTTTTAAGACTTCCGTAGATAATGGCCATAAACAAATAAGTGTTAATGATCTTTAATTACAGTAAATGAGAACAATTGCCGAAATAATGAAATAATACCCTTATGTACTCATGGACCGTAGAATTAGGTTCATACAATAAGCACACACATTCATCGGTTTGTTTAGTACAGCAGTTGGTTTAATAGTCAATTTGTCGTTTCACCGTAATGGGTAATTTTGCAATCCATCAGTCGGTCTGCCGAAGAGAACACCGCGAATAGTTATTGTCCACGATAATGTTTGATAGGTTCAATGATTGAACAATTGTATCTCTTCTTGAAAAAACTAATAAAAAAAATAATACTGAATCCTCTAGCATTTTGTCTGTCGAATTCGGAAAAAGTTATAATTTAATGATCCACGGGATTGATCACTACGACGATGTGCGTAATTGTGATCAATGTTGTAGAAGAAATTCAATTGATTCGGGAATCGGATTTCCCCTGAATATTCTTTTCAAAATTGTAGTCCACTAACTACTGTGGTACTTGTTTCACTCGTTATATCGACTATTGCTCTACCCAATACGCAATTTTATTTTATTTCATCCTACAGTTTCCGCGGTATTGCGCTTAAGATGGAAAACCGCTGTTTGGCATGTCCTATAAAAATTGTTGAACTTAAACTAGCTCAATTTCATCTAAAAACTATCCCAATTTTTTATATGATAGGTCAATCGATCCGAGGACGAGACGGACGATTAATTTAGCAAATTGGAAGAGTTCGGGTTCGGCCAATGCATGGGTGCATTGAATCTGCTGATTCGGCTTGATTCGGAAATGTCAAATGTGGGCCGATGCTATCCGGGGATGAAACCGTGTTGAGAATCGTAAAATCGATGAGCTTTAAACGTTAAAGTTCGAAACAAAACTAATTACAAACAATATTAATTCTATAATTAATTTCTAGTTAAAAAACAAAACTCTCAAACATAACATAATTATATATATTTAAAAGGATGTCAATTTAAAATTTAGGTGATTATTTAGTAGATTCACAGAGGGGATTATACCAGGCGCAGGCTGAACTGACCGCGAAACTCGTGTTTATGATCAGTAATAACCCGAATAAATAGCGTTAATGGATGGCTCGATGGTTATTATGTCCCAATAAATGTGAGATTAGATTCAGTAGGGGGCCTGATTCCCTCGTGAGTGAGGGTTAGTGAAAAATACGCGTCTCGCATGTGTCCTGGGTATTTGTGCAAACTCTGAGAGTGTGGTGCAGGTTTTCTGGCACCCGAAAAAATTATTATCGTGGTTATCTATGTGAGTCCTTATTTAAATGGCACAGTGACATTCGTAATACGAATTATTTTTGGTCATTAGAAGACATGACCGATTCACCGATCGAATATCTACGGGGAGAGATTCGAGACTGATTGGTGTCGCTCGGTTCTTCATTTCCACATAAAATGTCGATATTCATTTATTATTAATTTATTATTAATTAGTTTCAGTTCGATCTCTATACTTGGGAACATACGGGAAGGGGAATAAAGGCATCATAAGATCGCGTGAGATTCGCAGAAAAATTCCGATTTGGATTGGCACCAAATTGCTGGTGTGAATCTACTGAAAAATTACCGAAATTTTTACACTTAATTTAACAATTTCAATTTCATCAGTTGAAGTTAATGTATTTGTTATGTACTTTCATTATAGAATATAAAAACCGCACATGAAGAATATCTTAAATATATTGGTATATATTTTATTTATCGAATGCATTTTTTTGCGTTCATATGATGTTTACAACTCTAGTTAAAAAAAAAATCATCCTGTTGTATAATCGTGTGAAGTAATGGTCATTCACGAATTTTCAAAATAAAAAAAAAATAGAAAAAAATAGAAAAAAAAAAGAATAAAAAATAAAATAAAAATAAAATGAAATTTAAAAATAATTTTTTTTTTAATCGGAGGCGAAACTTTGGAATTTCCACTACGCTGCACAATTAATAATCGCCAGAATAAATTCAACAATACATTTTTTTGTATGAGGTCTGTTTTAATGGGAAGAGCATGATACTTTAGTAGTAATTTTTCGCAGACGTTTCTCTTGAGCCGGAGGAGTTGCGAAGAAGAGCGGAAAGAGCGGAAAGAGCGGAAAGAGCTTATAGCATTAAAAATGCCTGGAGATTGCAGCATAAGGATGAAGGGGAATCGTGCTGACACAAAAAGAGGTAAAAAAAATTGGGGGGAAGAGTACGCCGAGTGCACAGTGTAAACTCAGTTTGGGGGGGAGTTTGGGGATTTTGAATGTGTCTTGTGTGCAAGTGTGGAGATATGCCTGTTCTGATACTTCGGGTCTCCACGCACATCCTCTAGGGACACTTGGTTGCATTATGTATGGCATTCAGGCGTACGGAGGTGCATGCATTACAGCTTGGACTTGGGGATTTCTCGGCTTGTCAATGAATCTCTAGGACTTTCCCGTGCTCGAAGGGGTCTTCAATGTCGCTGTTCAAATTAGAATCAAAACAAATGTGCTCCGACAATATATTCAATGAAAATTGAAACTCAAGTTAAAATTTAAATGTTGTAAATGAAATCACAATTGAATCTCAAATTACTATTAAATTTTAAATAAACGTTGAAATGGAAATTTAAATAAAAATCGAGGTGGGAATTAGTATTGATTTAATGGAAATGAAAATTTAATTTTACAATGACTTTATAATTTACTGATTATGCAACCACGTGAATTATTTAGACCCACGTAAATTCAGGCAACAATTTCCATAAATTATCAAACCCTTGAAAATTCAATTAAATTCCATGCGCAATTACCATAATGAGTTTCAAAATTGAAGCTGTCTTTAAGATACACGAAAAGTGAAACTCGCGGGAACTTTCAAGACGAATGAGATCTTCGGTAAATTACTGCATTTTTAATTCATTTTAAATTCAACTCTGACAAAAAAATCAGTAAAGATTTGAGTCTTCAATAGCCTTAATGAAAATTCAATCGATAATAGAAAAAAGAATTTATTGTACGGCAAATTTAATGGAATTTAATATTCAATTTGTGGAGTGAATTTAGAAGTGCTGTGATCATTTTTCAAGATTACCACCTGCATCGAAATTCTAATTCATTTAGAACTGCCATATTATTTCGTAAAAACCGTAAAAACAGAGGAATTATAGTGGATAGCAGGAATTCGCCCGAAATTTTGCATAAACATTAACAATATTTTATCAGAAACAAGAACAGAAAACTTTTGATTTTCATAAAAATTTGCTTTCGGCTGTTGCGATATTTCGTTTTCTTAAGAGATCAGTAGACAGATATTTATGATTAAAGTGGAGAAAAGTGGAATTTTTAAAATTACTATTTGTATCATAAAAGTTCCTTTCGTGTACTGAAGCAACAAATAAATTATAAACGACGTAAAAGTGAAGTTGAATGATGAATGAATAAAAAACAAAATTAGTAGAGCAGGTATTTTGAAAATTGATTTACAAGGTTACCTGGCCACCGACCATCCCCTGGCGTAGCCTATGGAGATCTGTCTGACTCCACGCACTCTTGCTCCAGGGTGCGATCTGTCTGAGGTCCTTATCAAAATCAAACTCCCCAAGTTGATTGTGCACGAAGTTGCGTATGTTCCAGGGCAAATCATTGTGCCCATCAATGAGAGGTACTTCCGTGAGTACTTGACGTACCGTCTGGAGACGTTCACGTGTGGACGTTGGAATTGCGATTTCCCCATCAGCAGGACGAGGTCCGACCCGACCGACCCAATTACTGATTGTCAACAATATCACTGTCACTATCCAGACGCCATTCCTACCCGCCCCCTGTAACACAATATTGTCATTTTTCTGTTAAAAAATTTCACTTGAAATTACAAATGAAATACAACAAAGCGATGTGAAATTTTGGTGTTACTCTGTATTGACCAATCAATTGAATTCTTGAATCAATATTTAATCAATTGAATTAAATATTGTAGTAATCCGAAATTTTATTGTCCACGTGGAGCTGAAAAAACTTGAAAATGTGGAAAATTTAGACAAATGTCTCTCTGAATTTTCTACCTTATGAAAATTCAATGGTATTTCACGCAAAATTTTTATTGCGAATAATAAATTTAATTAGCAGTTTCAATGGAAGTTTAACTCCATCGGGTATTATTGAGAACTCAGGAGACATTATGCCCGAATTTTCAAGTGAAACCCCGGAATTATCAAGCTCCAGCTGTGGAATTTTCGAAAAATTTCCCGATGGAAATTAATTAGCTGCTTTTCAAATATGCCTCATCTTTCAACGTATTTCACGATAAATCTTCTGTGTGGCAGACAGACAAAAGAGATAAATTCAACAAAGCTTCAAATCAGAAATTTCCTAGAAATATTTTCAACGGAGAAAAAATAATGGGAAACGACAAAATATAATGATATAAATTATATCACGCCAAGTGTAGTGACATTGGAAAAACGATTTTCTAATTTTCAACAAATTGATGCATTTTAGCTGAAGCAAAATATTAACATCCTAGAGTACGATGTATTTCCATGTAATATCTATCATTCCGGTTCGTAGGAATTGATCATCAATGAAAAAAAAAAATTACTGCAAAGAGTGTTTTAAAAATCTCCAAAAAATGAAAAAAATATAATCGTCACGTAAATCTCGATTTTCATTTCCGCGCATCATCAAAAAGACTTTAGTACATTTTGTAACGAAATATATTATTTGCTGAGTCGAATTCTCTCTAAGAAATTTCTCTTCGTGCGTTCACGATCGTGTGCAATTATGCAAGCAAACATAATAAGCCGCTGGCAAAGGAAAAGCGTCGTCTCTGCCAACAAGTTATATTCCGGAATCTTCTCTGTTCACCCGAAGAATGATTTCTCGAATGAATTTCAAAGCTTCAACTCGTCTCCTTTCCACCCTCATCCCATCCTCATATTCCTATCCGATGTACCATCAGCCCCTGTACATGAATCCACTTCGGCCCTCATTTATACATAATCTCCTCTGATATAGAGAACAGGGAATAACTCAGCGACGGATCAACATTACAGCTCACATAATCGGCATATTTTATTCACAAACATCCGGCTGACGTTTTCATACATGAGATTTCATTGGAATACTCGGGTAATACCCCCGTAAACAATAACTACATAGAGAGAATTAAAAAGTAGAAATTACTATGCCACTAGAAGATATATACACTCAGAAGAAAAATACATTTTTGTCAAGTTTCCTCTTGTTTGTGTCGCCAGCGAAACATTTCAGTATTTATTACCGTATTTTTCTAGTCAAATCTTTTCCGAGGCATTACCATTGATTTTCAAGTGAATTTCTTGATTTCTTCTTGATTTTTTTAATTCGGCAATGATATCGCTCTCGAAGATGATTATCTAAATTATCGCTTTAGTGATAGTAATAGTAATAGTAATTTAATTTAAAAAATTAGTAATCATTGGAGGAGTTCGCCCAGGGCCATGTCAGCGTGATCATCCTCGGGGGCAACATTATTATGATAATTGTAACCTAATTTATAAATAATTCTATGGAGTTAATGAATATTTATAAAAAAATAAGGCGCACCGTGGAAATTAAACATCGAATGAAATTGAATGTCTGATAAATTGAAAATTCGGAGAAATTATTGCTCGAACTTTTGACTTTTTCACTGATTCTCAGAGCCGCATGGACTTGGAAATTGACAATTACTGGAAGTGCAATTTTCGAGTAGTGCATTAATATTTAGTAAAAGGATTTTCAGACTACACTTTATTAGGTCATATAGAATGATAATTACAAAGTAAATAAATATATAATATCGGCCAATTCTATATATTTCACAATTTCCTAAAAATATATAAACAAAAAGTATAAAAAAAGGGTTTATATATTTTTAAAGATGTAAATTGAGTCAACTTAGACTTTTTTCCATTTTGGAATTGACTTTTGACAAAGACGTTGATATTAATCGAGATTGTGGATCTTATCTCCAGTGGAAATGCATTTTTCAGTGGCTCAAGTTAAATGAGAAAGTATGAGATGTTTCCAGTGTGGACTTCAATTCGGAGTCCCTTGACTGATCGTTTTCATCGGTGGATGATGGATCGCGCCGCGGGTTTTCTTTGGTGATTAAAAAAGGAGAGGGCACGGGTTCATGACACTTGGATGGGAAAAAGTTTCACGGATGGGAATATTTTGTCTGGGTGATTCATCGCTGCGGGTTTTCAGGTTGAGTAGAATTGTGAAGGCGAAATTTCACGCTGAATTGAGTAACATTTCCCATTTTCCCTTTTCCTATTTTTTTTTTCTAAATCCCAGATATCGAAACGTGACTTTAAAATCTGAGCTTGCAATGCGGATAAAAAATTTATTCTCCATTCAATTTGCGCATCTACGGTGAATAAATTAAATATACTAGACTGCAGTGTATTTTTTTTTCACAAGATAAATTGATGAATTTTGTCATTTCCGTTAATCTCTTTTCTCCTATAAGGAGAAACCAAACTATTAGCGAATTGGCTTCCATAATATTCCAACGGAATAATCCTTCTATCTAGATGAGTGCTTTCGGTTATAATCTAATCCAGAATATCAGATCCATTGAACTTGTTAAGCTCATTAGTAGCGAAAGCAGAACATCAAGATAAGCTAGATTCAGAATTTTCATTGGAATCGTCGGACTTTTAAGGAGATCGTACGCCACTGACAAGAATATAAAATGTTAAGTATATCTGTATATGATATCTCTCTAGAAAACTCGATGTAACGAAAAGTGTTACCATTGTTCGTCGCATAGCTTAGTTTACAAAAATATATTTTTAAGAAATTGCGGATGAAAAATAATTTAAAAAAATAATTCTTTATTGATAATTACGACAAAAATTAACGTTCTGGGACGATTGCGGAATAGTTGCGTAAAATTTTTCTTGACAATTTTTCATTTAGGAATAATTTGTTTTCCTGCACGCGAAGAATTGAGATAGAAATTTGAAGAGTTTAATCGGTGGAAATATCAGGATTTCCTTTTGAATCTGAGACACGGTAAAATAACAACTGTGGCTCGATGGAAAAGTAGTCTCGGCAGTAACTCTCAAAAGGGACAGGTGAAACTGTTTCTTCAACTTCCTATGACGCCGGCGTGCGTTCCTTCCGCAACTTCCGTCGGAAATTCCGACTAGACATCCTGTCGTGTCTTCGACTTGCCTCAACATGGTGCTCACATCAGCGTCTTTGGTGCTTGTAGAAGTGTTTCCTTGTTCAGGTCACCGCACACGGAACCTCCTCCAGTGCACCAATTAGCGATGTCAGGGATTCTTCATCACAGAGACTATTTCCTGGTTAACGAGTCAGACCTGGGTGCTTGAAAAATCTTCGGCCTGAATATTTTCGAGTTTATGGAGTGAAACACCAGTTCTTCCGGAAATTTAATCCCCATTTTTTTTACAAATTATCGTAGCACGCTGTATTGCTGCGCTCAAAAAAAAAATGTTAGTTCTGGATTAAATTACTGGTGTCAAGTAAATTTACTTGGCATGAGTAAATCTATGTAGATATTTATGCTTGAAATGTGGGAATTCTCTTGTAGGTTGTGAATTTACTTGGCAAAAGTCATTATTTTTTTCCGTGTACAGAGCAAGGGAAATTTATTTTTAATTAAGAACTCTCCATTTTTGCGTCCCTGCAAACGATTTGTAGGTCTTTATCGCAAGAATTATGCCAGGGAAAAATATACAGGAATGTTTATGCGTTTACCCTCCAATTTTTCAGCTGGAATTTGGTATTTTTATAAAAATTTTCCGAAAATATCGAATTTTTAAACGTAAACTTTTATTTTAAATTTTGAATGAAACTATATTGAGATGAAAATCAGGGAAAATTTCCCAGGGAATTAATTCTTTGACGTATTTCTATTAAAATCTTTGCTTGAACATAACAAATTACGAAACAATTAAAATTTCTCGCGATTGCACAACTGAAAATCCCAAAATTCATGAAAGAAATTCAAACGAAATCTCTGAATTTCAATTCAATAATTCTTTGAAAATTCACATTTATAAAATTTCCATACATTCTATCATTATTTATTCCTAAAATATTCAATTTTCATTACTTTTTCTCTAAATTGTCTTCAATATTGCTCTCTGCAAAATGAGAAAAAACGATAAACACAAGAAGCATAATAATTTACTTGCTATGAATTAATTACATCGAAAATGATTTGTTCAAATTGTATTGTTAAATTGATATTTTTCCTTGCACGAAAAATTAGCATCGAACGTTCTCCGAAGGTTGAATTTCCTTCTACCATTGAATGTCTCGGCAGAGAGAGTACAATGGTCTCCATAAATAATTGAACCGGGTCAGGACAGTATTTTCCCGACATTAATAATGTTGATTTGAGCCCCCACTGGCAGTGGCTCTTTCATTTTGTTAACAATTCTACTAACCCAGGGATAACGCAGAGTTTTTCTCCCTGGACAGTGGGTCGAGTGGCCAAAGAGGGATTGCCCAGTGGGTTTTCCACCCACCGTGAACGTTTATTACATTGGCGGTTTGATTTATCGGAGTAGCCGGATAAATCGAAACCACACACGTGGACAATAATACATGTTGACCACGCGAGTCACTTCGAAAATATTGTAGAGATAGAGAAAAGAAGTGTGCAACTGATAAACACGGGGATAAAAAATTGTAAGAAATTATGAGAGCTCCATCAACAATGCTCTTCCACTTTGTACCATTACACTTCATACTTCACATATATTTTCAATCGTTAAAAACATTCCATCCTCGGAAAAATATGTTTTTATTACTCGTTTTT